TGTGTTTTTATTTGTGATATTTGGTATGGAGTCTCGCTATGCAGCTCAGACTTGTGATTCTCCTGTTTTCAGCCTCCCCAGCGCTGCCATTATAGGCATATACCACCATGCGTAGACTTTGTCCCTGGCTCAGCATGCCCCGGGGCAGCTTGTGGGACCAGGGTTCCATCTGAACCCACCAAAGCAGGTGCTTTGTCTGCTGAGCTATCTCTCAGGCCCTTCTATGGTCCTTTCTAGTGGAATTCTGCACAGACCAGAGCAGAGAGCTTTGGCTTCTCTTCCTAGATATATTACGTTATTTTTCTTACACTTATGTAAGTGTGTGTATAAATATAGATCACCTCTGAAGTTCATATGGAAAGTGGCCCTCTCCCCAGCAGCCGTATTAGCTCCTAGGGATCCTCTTCTATTTTATTTGAAAACTTCACTTTGCTGAAATACAAGAGAGAAAAATGTTTGGAGGCTGGAAATGTTTACAGGAATAACTTCAAAGAGATGTCAGTAAAACAGAAAAGAAGTGAAATAAACACAGAGCTTACTTTTGTTTAAGTTGAAACCCCCACCTGCATTAATTCTAGTGGGATTAAGTCTGAGGTGCTGGTCCGTGTGGCTGCACATCATGATTTGATGCTTTCCTTATGCAAACCAGAGCTGTTTCATAGCATTAACCACCATGCATGCTTCAACGTTCTGAGCTGTGTACACCAGTTGTGTCCTACTACTTGCAGAAGTGCCTGACTAAATGCAATCCTTTGATTCCTCTAAATGTTTTTTATTACCTTATGATTAATAGTCTTTGTGAATGAGCAAAGCATCTGAGATAAGGAGCTCTGACTTAGTCAGTGCTTTTCTGTTTGCCTTGGACTAAGTTGGGGGTGTCTAGCTGATAGTGTTTATTGGCCAGAGAGTCTAAAGGAGAAGCTTCAGAAGCTCTTCATGAATCAGGGTTCAGGCTGTAACTGTAACTGGGTATCTAGTGCTTGTTAGTTCAAATCTGCTTGTCCCAGGTCAAACAATTGAAGTGCTCTACTGGAACCCAAGGAATGTCCTGGGCATTGCTGTCCTGGCATCTTGGAAGGGACAAGGGCCGCGGCCACTTCTCATAGAGCCATCCCCGTGTTTCTCTACTGGCGCGTGGTGCAGTCACAGTTTCTGCGGTGATGCCATCCAGGCATTTACTCCGGTCAGTCAGGACATGAGCACTAAGTACTGCCACGACACACTGACAATGTGGGGCATCTGGTCGTACTGGTAGTTTTCAGTAAAATTATTGTATTAATGAGTAAGTAAAAATATCTTTGTCCTGAAGGAGAACAAAAACCTGAAGTGGCAGAATTTAAACAAAGAACTTATATGAAAATAAACCTAGCAAGCTCTATGCTATTTCTTTTAACTCATCTATTTTCTCTCCCCCTTCTTTCAGATGTAATGCTATATTAATATTACCATGAATATAAAATGCTATTAAGTGCTTCTGCTAAAAGTTTTATTAAACTATTTAATATGAAGATAAAATTTAAAATACTAATTAAATATTAAGCCTTCACTTTTTCATTCAAAATTCTATTTGATTGTATTATTTGCTAGACTTTATTAAATATTTCTCATTAACATCAATTTTATTATCCTTATATGCATTGCTTTTAATAGAGTTTCTCTTAACGTTTTTCTTAAAAGCAAATCACAATTTTAATACTGTCCTAAATGTATAGACTACCATTTATTTTATCTATAAAACTTGTTGCACTTATATTTAATCATGTTAGTTTGATTACATTAATTATATTTTAATACTATACCATATCCATGATGGGAGCATCTTTTAATTACATGACATAAAATTTACCATACTAACTATTTTAAGTGTCTCCTATGGTAGCATTCAAGTACCTTTCACATTGTCGTACAACCAATCTGTAAGTTTATTTTTAATTTTACAAAGCTGAAATTCTATACCCACTAAAAATCCTATCCTTTTCTCTTCACCATCCTTGGCACACCTGGTTTTTGTCTCTACAGATTTGACTGTTCTAGGTATAGAGTCTCCCATCAGTGAACTCATGCAGCATTTATCTTTTTGTGACTGGTGTCTTCCTTCTCAAGTTTCACTGCATTTGTAACATGTATCAAAGTGTTGTTCCTTTTTAAAGCTGCATAGCATTTCATTGCTTGTATGTGCTTTCTTTGGTTTATCTGTTCATATACAAAAGGATGCTTGAGCTGCATCCTTCCTTTCGTTACTTTAAAGCATCTTCTCTGAACATGACTGTAGACACACACATCTACTTATAGATGCATTTATGAATGGGCTCACAGCTGGGATCTTGCCCTGTCCTCTGGGGCTGACCTCTGTCTTCTTAGAACACACTCGAAAGCACTCACCACAAAGCTCTGCACAGGTTGACAGTTTTAGAATGAGAGGCTAATCACTTCCAGTCAAAACTGATTTACTTTAGTGTTTTTTTTTAAATTTTACAATTAATTAACTAATTAATTAATTTGGTGCAGAGTCTCGCTATGAAGCTCTATGTCAGCCTCCCCAGTTCTGGGATTGCAAGTGTGTACCACCACGCCCGGTCTTGGTGGGCAGTACTGCCTCCCCTGCATGCCTGCAAGATATGTGGTACTGGGTACCGAACTCAGGACTTATGGCTTGCCAAGCAGGCACTTAGACCACTGAGCTATCTCCCCAACCCTAATTTACTTTAGTTCTTGCAGAACTAAAGTTCTTGCAGAAATTACTCACCTACTATGGTTCCTCATTACCCGTGTAGTAAGGTTGTAGGCCTCCTCTTAGGAATTCAATACAACACTAATTCCTTTAGCTGGTCTTGGTTCTTGTTACTCCTTCTTTGTGTATTTGGATCTAATATCAGTGTTGCTTGAATACCAGTTTTCTGAAAAATGATCAGAGCTTACCATCATTTCCACCATATTGCCTGTAAACACAGAGGTCTGTTTACATTACGGAAATCATCGCATTCACGTATAGTTTACACTCTGATTATCATGAGGTCTGTAATAAATCAACATCATTAATATCAGAACTTACTTGTTATAAGTGTAATTGTGCATGACATTGCATTCAGCTCCCCGCTTTCTGAACTTTATCCATGTGTTAATTCAAGAACAAACCCCATTTAAAAACTTTTTTCTTTGGCTTTCATAAATCATTGACCTTATTCTTTTTTTTTTTTTCATAGAGTGCAGGCTGTTGGCATCACATCAGTAGACTTGGTTCACTTTTGAACTTGCACCATATTTATTTCTGTGTATTTCATATATCAATGGATAAAATTATCTGTTATTGCTCTAACAATTTCTGCAGAAATGACATAAATCAAATTGCAAACTTTCATTTGTGCTCATTGTCCCTGTCTCCAAGGAGATGGGTTTGATAAAATGTAACTACGACTAATGGCAATGGCATAGATTGATTGCGTCAGCATTAAAGCAGGATGATACAGGAAACCTATAGAAATGTACCTTTTGGGTCATCAACAAGGTAGCCAGGACTAGTGTGAAAGGATAGTGCATTTAGACTATTGCAGGCATTTATAATGTCCATATATATTATAAATCTGTTTGTATGAGACACAGTTCATAAACTAGAGCATCTATCACATATTTCTTAAAACAGTGAACTGTTATGCTCTGATATGGGCAGAGCAATATCAATTTTCTCTTTTTAATCTCTAAAGGTACTAATTTTTAATTTCAATAGTGCCAATAGTGTTCATCCTTGTTATTATTGCATTTTTAAAAAGTGTTGATATTCTTCAAACAGCAATTAAAATCCTTTGTATTACCCTTGTTAATTTTCATTCTAGTGTGGTTTTAACTATGAAGTAATGTGATTTTATTTTTTATAATGGGCCTTCCACTATGAGGAGTGCGTTTATTTTTTTTCAGTGTGTAGTCTGATTCTAGTCTCTTACCATTCCCCCCTAACATGATTCATGAACCAGGGATGGTTCATTCTGTGCTGCTTGAAGTAGCTGAATTTGTTGGCTTGCCAAGACTTTTGGCTATTTTCCCTACATTTTTTGTCAGTAGTTCAGTGTTGATTTCTATTTTAAGAAAAAAAATCTGGATTTATGAATCATACTGAATGAGTCCCTACCTGACAGTTTCACTTAAATCTGCAGGTTTGCTTTCCCCCACCCATCTCGTCGTGCTTCAAACTCTGTGTCACTTTATTTTTCTTTCATGAGACTTACTGCTTTCTAATATTTATGATTGACCTAATCATCTTATGTATTTCTTCCCTTCTCTGTCTACCCACAAAAAGCATGCAAGTTCCAGGAGCTCAAAGTTCTGCTTTATTTTCTGAATGATACCTTCCAGCAATGAGCAGTGTGTCTAGCGGAGAGTAACACTTAATGTTTGTTAAAACAATGAATCATTCAGTTCTGTGATTGTGGAAGAGGAAACAGCAAATGTAATTCTTTCACAACTAAATCTGTGCCTTGGAAAAACTTACTTTTCATGGTGTTCTTATGCTACTTTATTTGAAGAGTATCTTTCATAATGTAGCAATAAATCCACAGTCTTCAAGTATACATCAATTTCTCCCATTCAGGTTGTAATTCCATGCGATAAATATATTTTCTGTTGTTGGTTTATAAAGGGAGAATGACACTTATTAATGAGTTCTATATTGCACAATAGTTATACCAATTTTTATAATTTTAAAGCTGTAGATGCCCCACCTTTCCATTTTCAAATACTGCCTAAGCGGTTGACTCTATTGAAATTTCAAAGGTAATGTATTACTTGTGTGAAAAAAATTATTAGAAGAATTTTGTTCATAATTTGTCCTGTATAATTTTTGTAGATATTTTTTCTGCTGTTTTTAGACACCCAGGGCCAAAACATCAGTGCATGAATAGATCTCAACAGAGTGCATAAATTATTGATGATAGAGCTCAAGAGAAGTGTGTCAAGGTGAAAGAAGTTGTCCAGACCAAGGCCAGCTTATGATGAGGACAACAGAAACACCTCCCAATGTTGACTGTCTTTCTATACTCTTCTGTACTAATTATGTATAAAAATTATAGTCTAAGAAGAAATATCAGATTTCCTTTTCAAAATTAGATTTATAACCTAAAACAATGATATTGTGGTAAAAAATATTTGATTCCAGCTGCCTTGTGAGTAAAATGATGACCTTATTGATAAGCTATGACCAATTTTAGTTTCAGAGTAAGCTCTCTATCACTTTGAGGTTTATCTAGCCCAGATGTTTTATGACAGTTGTCTATATTGGGTATCTTTTTCAGCTTGCTTAAGGAATCATGATTTGTAGCTTAGTTTTCTTTTAAGAGCCAGTTAATTTTGTTGGTCCCAATTTACATGGCCGCACTATTCCATAGTTTTTTTTTTTTTTTTTTTAAATATGAAAGTTCTTTTTCATGTAGGATCCACTGGGTGTATGGTATGAGCATATACACTCCTGGGAAATGTTCTTATATACTTATTTAGTATAAGTAATTTCTATCTTACCAAGTCAGTACTCTAGCACAGAGAATTCATAGTCTACCTATAGAAATTGTTTTGTCTATTAATGGAATATATCATAATCTTACTGTTGTAGATTGAAAGGCATGACAACTGTGCTTATGACCACTTAGAAATTCGAGATGGGACCAGTGAAAATAGCCCCTTGATTGGGCGTTTCTGTGGTTATGATAAACCTGAAGATATAAGATCCACCTCCAATACCTTGTGGATGAAATTTGTTTCTGATGGAACTGTCAACAAAGCCGGGTTTGCTGCTAACTTTTTTAAAGGTATTTCACAGGGATTTACATATGCGTGACTTCCTTTCTCAGACAGGGATAAATGTGGCATTTAGTGTGAATTGGAGGGAAATAGGAGTGAAGTTGTATTAAAGTTGGAGTGAACACAGTTGTTAAAAATATTTTGATGAATTTTGATGGGATATGCTAGTAAAATATTAGTTTTTAACATTACAGCATAGGAGAGGAACTGTATTGAGATATTCTACCATTTGTATTTTTAAAAAATAGTGAAAATAGTAAAGTCTAGAAAGAAATCTAGAGATAAGAAAAAAGTGTTTGAAATTCATACGTGCAGCCAACAAAGAATGCATAACTGGAAGGGGGTTTGCTTATTTGGAGTTCATCAATTTGCTTCCAGGTGCTAGCATTTTAAAATAACCTCTTAAAGAATAATGATCCCTAACATTGAAAATAATTTATTAACCTTTTAGCAGAATATTCTGTTAGCTAAAATATCTTTTGGTGAGATTATTCTGGTAATTTTAAAGTGCCTGTGCTTTAATTTGTTCTCAAATCCCATAATTTGTGTGAATTACCAAGTAAAAATAAAAGCCATTTTAGTACAAATGGTCACATTAAGTGCACATTATGAAATGAATAGATGCTTGTTTTAAGTGTATCACCATCAAATAATATCTTCCTTTGGGAAGATAAAACAAAATTTACACTGATTCATATAGGAGACATGATAAATTTGAATATCTCAAAATTTGATGAGACACAAACTATTTTCATTATCTTAAGAATACAATGGATTTTCCCTCTTCATACTTAATTAATATGAATTGAAAGGCCAGAAACTTGATATTTCAATTATATTAATTCCTTTATATACTGACACATTTGTAATTATCTGTGCACCTTATTAATAGCAGAAGGAACATGCTGTCAAACTATTTTCATGTAATATTTATATGTTTGGTTAACAAAAATGTCTGGTATTCTCTTGATGTATAATTTCTCAAGAGTACATGTACCCTTCGCCTAATTCACATTATGTTATTTCCGAAAAACTGGGATTATAGAATGCCCTGTCATCCAGATTTGTACAAAATATTATATATTTTCATATTTTCACATGCAATTGAAATAGCGTATACATTTGCAAAAATATTGGATTCTTAGATTGCCTGAGTCAAAATGTCTATGTAAAAAGCAATGGTGCTTTAACTTTAAAGAGGTCAAATCAATTGTTGAATTTTATTGCATATTTTTAAAAATTGTATGCTCCATGATCTATTTCTTGATTGTGATTTTTCTTTAAAAGTATTTTTACTTTCAGTCGAGGAATTGAACCCATGGCCTCATGTAGTTTGATTTTGTCTTCACCAGCAAGCTGCATTCCCAGCTTCTAAAACTATTTTGGGGGGATATAATCAACAAACTGTACCATGAAATGAGTAGGTAAAACTATGCTTGTAGAGCAAGGATTTTTAAAGTTTCATTCTGACAAATTTCTAGTTTTTTTTTTTTTTTTTTTCGGAACTGGGGATTGAACTCAGGCCTTTGTGCTTGCCAGGAAAGCACTTATTCTACTGAGCTATCTCCCCAGCCCCCAAATTTCTAGTTTTTAACAATCTAAAAATCAGAGAAAAATCACAGTTTGAGACATGATTTTCAGTTCATGTGGCTAAAGGTTAGTAGTCTCTCTCTTCATTCTATGATTTTTAGGTTGCAGCACCTTGAATTCTTGAAGGTTGTCCAATAAGGGCTTGCACGCTGTTCCTGCTTCTTTGTTGAAGAAAGGAACCATACCCATTGCATTCCAAGCTCTTAAGCTGTATATTTTCAATAAGTTATGCACTTTAATATATAAACACATCCTACTGTAATGGTGCTGTAATTATCACTATTTTTACAGAGGAAGATGAGTGTGCCAAGCCTGACCGAGGAGGCTGTGAGCAGCGGTGTCTCAACACTCTGGGAAGCTACCAGTGTGCCTGTGAGCCTGGCTATGAGCTGGGGCCAGACAGAAGGGGCTGTGAAGGTAGGGCTGGGCTGGCGCAGCTGGCCTTTCTCCTGTTTTAATCTGCTCTGTCTTTTATTCTCTGTCTCTGTCTCTGTCTCTGTCTCTGTCTCTGTCTCTGTCTCTGTCTCTGTCTCTATCTCTCTGTGTGTATGTGTGTCTCTTCTCCGCTGTCTCTCTCACTTTGTGTCTCTATCTCTCTGTGTCTCTGTCTCTGCATCTCTCTGTCTCTATCTCTCTCTGTGTCTCTGTCTCTCTGTCTCTATGTCTCTGTCTCTGTCTGTCTCTCTCTTTCCAGTAAGACTCAGTTCAGTCTTCATTGTCAGAGATGTTTAAATCTTTCATTGAACTCTTGTTATAAAGTTGGTCTCTTTTCTCTTTGCTTACTAGGCCACTGTGTCCATCCATCCCCTCATCCTTCCATCTTCCTTTCTTCAATGCGTCTCTTCTCCTGTATATGCATGTATGTATCCATCCATCCATCCATCCATCCATCCATCCATCCATCCATCCATCCATCCATCATCCATCTCTTTATCTTTCTGCTCATCACTTCTGTTGTCTTTTGCTTAATGTAGTCTATGAAGACATCTCCCTAATTAAAATGAAAACCTCAAATTTGCATTTTCTTGGTATGTTTAGTATTTAACGTAAACATAAAGCATTTAGAATAAAGCCAAATACATGTTTTATGAAAAAATCATTGATCAAAAATGTTTTTGGTATTGTTCTCACATTTCCTCTTAATCTAAGCTGGGGTGCGGTGTCCTATACAGAGTGGCATCACCCTCGTGTGTGATCTCCTCCTTCAGAATGTGAAGCTGCTCCCTTCCATGTCCCTGCTCGGTCCTACTATAGACTCCATGACTTGGTTTACCCGCAGGATGAATTGGCTTTCCTCTATTCCTCTTTAAAACTTCCTGCCAAGTTCATCTTCACAGAAATTGTAATAACCTATATTTTTCTTCATGTATACATCAGTTCGTTTTTACATCTTTCTACTGAAATATAAGTCCCTGGAAAGTGAACACCTTCCTCTCTATTGTGTCTGTAACAGAAGATTAAAGAAAGACCAAAGGTAGCAAAAGTATTTGCCTAATGAATAAATGCCTCACTTTTGCTCACTTACTTAAAAAAATTTACTTACTTAAATAAATGTTTGTTTTAATGTATTTGGTTCATGGTCTTCAAGGTCTACAGGATCTCACTGCATACATCAGACTCATAGTGATCCTCCTTTTTTCAACTTCCTAAGTGCTGGAAATACAGGTACATGCCACCAAGCCCAGTGTCAATCGCTGTCTCAGTGTGCCAGGGGGTGGGGCCAGCATGGCATACTAGGGATCGAATCCCTGGCCTCTGCACTCTACCTAAGCAGTGCTTTAGTCCTCTGAATTGTCTGGCTGGCCCATTATTTCTTCTTAAAACCTTTAAAGTTTCCTGTTTGACTTTGAATGTCTTTACCTGGGCTATGAATCTACTTTTATTCTCCTTCTATTAGAATTTTAAGAACAGTACGACTAATAAAATGTATTTGTACAGCAAAAAATTTTTTTGAGTGTGATTTATTTATTTTTATTTTATTGAGAAACAAATACCAATGAAATAGCTTTAAAACTGATTAATACAACAGTTTCAATAATTAATACATTGCATATTGTTATCTTCCTAGTGGTTATCCATAGTACAAGATGCAGACAGAATATCCTGTCCAAACACTATTAGTACAAATCTCTCTTCTCATTGAATTAAGTGAGAGTAGCTGTGTATCTATCTTAACTATTCACCACACACAGATAAAAATGGTCCTTCCTTTGTATCCCCTTTTTTCATTTAGTCCTGTCAGAAATGGGTATTCCATTGGCAACTAAATACTATAGGTACATGAATTCAGCAAAACAATCCAACACAGTCCAGCAGTCCACAATAGCAGTGGGTTATCCACAGAAGATGTTGATTTGAGCCTTTCACAGCTCAGCATATTAATATGGCTTTACTTTATATCCCTTGTTTTTATACTTTTCTGCTGGATGTTTAAGACCAAGATAAAGCAAGACTTAAATAACAAGAAATGTAAGTTTTGTATGTGATAAGATCAGTCAAGTACACTCACTGTTTATCCTGTAATCCTGTTCTGCAGTTTGCAGATCCTTTGTCAGTGTCAGCCATGTGGGTGAGTCACAACCATTGCTTGACCAATTTGCTCTCTGTGAAAACCTGAGAGAATGTTTTCTCTCCATGTGACTCTCCTTAGGCACACTCTACATCATCTATTACATTGTTCTGAGGCCCGTTAATCTCCTTAATCAGAAAATTTGGGACACAACTAACACGATGTTACAGTAGAAGTTCTCATATGTCCTGAGTCTTAATTGATGTTGGAAGGCTAGGGCCAAAATGTTGGCTTTCCTTGTGGCCCTCCTTTTTCTCTAATTTTTGGTCTGCACACTTAGGTTGTTAACCCTCCAGAAGAGAAGCTTATTGTTTTTGCCATATAACCTAGACTGTTGAGCTTAACCTCACTATCTGTGTGAATATCAAACATCTTAGGCATAACATGGAACAGGTATTTTTCATAAAGTACTCATATGTAAAACTTTGAGTCCCTGCAGAATATGCCAAAAAATTTTGAAAAATTAAAATGCATTTAAAAAATAGGAATAAAGAATTATATATGTTTACACATAAGTCCAAAAATCTAAGCATATAAAAGATGGTTGCAGGATAGTCCTGCAACACTCCTTTTCCTGTCTCCTGCCTTCATTCACCATCTCCTTCCTTTTTAAACTGTCATCTACCCAAGAGACAGCATGGCAGCAACTGGTGTGTCATGACAAGCAGCACGTATTCAGAGGACCAGAATGACAGGCACTCCAAGCGTGAACCTACTATTACAAATTCCCAACTTCAGTACAGTTGCTTAGTTCACAGGTGTCAGTATATATAGTTAGTCAGGGTGAGAATGCTTCCAATTAACTTCTAGATTTGAAAATCTTCTGAAGATTCTCAGGATCATTGCCTTGCCCATTGTGTACATATAAGTGTATGGCTTGCCTCTGTCATGTTTCCTAGCATTCTCCTTGCTCTCTTTTCATTGTCTAGTCCTTAAGTTTTTGCTTTCCTTTTAATTGTATTATACCTTTCTATTTCTATTTCTTCTTTTGAGTTCTTATGCTAGGGAAACTATA